TAGAGATAACGAGATCAAAAAACAATTCTTAGAAGCCGATAAGATAATACCAAAAATCGAATCATCGATTCATCCGAATCATATGTATACGAGCAAACCGATTAACACAAGAGTAAACGAAGTTTTAAATTCAAATAGGCAGAACACGTCTACTCAAGGTTTATATATTTCAGACTATGACGTGTCAAATTTTATGTAAAATAAGTCTTACGAAAATTGATAATTATGAGTGCAATTATATTCAAATACAATACGGTTGTAATGTAGAGGATGTTCCTCTTCGATTAAAAAGTTTGTCTCTATAATTTTATAAACTAGGAATTGCACATGCGACATAGCCACCGATTTAATAATATGCAATTACCAATTTGATATTAACGTTTTTACCTTTTTTTGAATCTAACACATAAAAAACGAATCTAACCAGTATTGATTGTCATTAATTTTTTATAGTTATTGACCTTGATTCTAACTTTTTTTTATACAATAACACTATTACTCCCGATTTCTTAAATTCTGGGACAACAGAAAAATTTCCGATGGAATTGATAAATTTCTGATGTGATTGATGTTAGCTAACTTTCTATTCAATTATTAAAAAATTTTTCAGCTATCCTTTCAAACATAGTTATATATTATGTCATAACATTATAGTGTTCTTTCATATGAATCGAATTAAACGTATAAAAGCAAGATACTTATTCGACATTGTAATATTTAGTTCACATATCAACTGGTGCTACACTAAGCATATAATGTGCATCGCTCTTCTTTACAATTTTTTATATTAATCGATGAATTTATTGCATGTAAATTTTTTTTTATAATAAAGTTCTTTTCATTTACATTATTAGTAATTATTAGTAGACACTTTTATGCACATTATTAGTAGGAAAGAAATTCTTATATAAATATATAAATAAATCATTTTTGTCTTAACAATTGTATTATTTACAAAAAGCAAATTTAGGAAAATTTTATTCTACCAGAAATTGTAAATGGCTTTAATAAAAACAAACAAAAAAAAAAAAATGTATTCACTGTAGTTATAAACTAGTAAAGCTGTAAGCATGAATATGTTTTCCTAAACTACTGTATATTCTAACTTGAGTCGACTCTACTCAGCTTAAGTTTAAACAATTATTACACAAGTTGTAATTACATTTTCTGCATCCAAAATGACGACCGTCATACTGATATGGAAGTTTACATACATTACACGTCCAAATGAATGGAGATGGCAGATAATAAAGAGGATGTCTGTTAATACAGAGACTAGGTTTACATTTCTGTCCAGGCTTACAATGGTCAAGACAAGCGTTAAAATCACAAATTTCGCAATAACCGGATTCCTGAGACAATATTTATAAAGTAA